CTTTGGATGTTTGTGAATAAAGGGGAGAGGGAGAAATAGAGTCAAAAGTTTCTCTTCTACATCCCCCATAACTTTACACATAAGCAGGGAAAGGCAAAGTCACATGTAGTTATCAATGGTGATCCTTTCTATACTGAGCAAGTAAAATAAAATCCATTTACATTTCAGAGGAAAACCAAGCTAAGGCTATCCTGAGAATTTCATTGCCAGAGCTAGGGTACCAAGGTAGAAAGAAGAGTGCTTTTAGATGAAATATAAAGAGATGAGGTAGAGAGGATGGGTGGTTAAAAGAAATCTTGCTTTGAGTCTTGACTTGGTCAGTAAGGCGAACTCAGGAAAAGAAAGGTGAAAGTATTTTATTAGCACACAATGGCAGTAAGCAGTTGGTTGAAGCAGGTGTGGATTTCAAACTGCTTTCTGCCTTTACAGACAGGAGTAAATGACTTCCATGTAAGGGCAAAAGTATGTTTATTTGTACATGTATCATGAGGAGATTGGTTATATGCTGCCTCAGCTCCTCCCCATGTCTAAGTACTCATATGTAGGGTTTTTCTGGACCACCATGCCTTGCAGGTTGGCTGCACATATACCCAAAGTCTAAGTAAAGCTTACACATGAAGTCTCTCAGACTGATTCTGCGTAAGTGGCTGACTTTGCACAAGGTCAAGACTAGTAAGATCGCTCCTTGTTCTGGAGGAGTCAACTGTAGGGTAGAAAAGGGAAAAAAATCTAGGGGCTTGCTGCCCCACCTTCCCATCTCCCATGCCCTTGCCAGTCCTGTCATCACAGACTTTGCCCATGACTAGCCCTGGGGTAAAGTGAAAAATCAACTTTTTTTTCCCTATTCAGAATTTACTTGCCTTTGGTGAATGGACAGATAGGTATTTCTAGAGCTAATGTAATTGGGGCTACCTTAAAAGTTTATGGAACATATGACAGCACTGTTCTATAGATTTTATAGACTGCCTTCATGAAGTACTCAAGGTTGTTGACCATGACTTAAATTAAGAAGATTCCCACTCAATCTTTTCCCTCTCTACCCATGAGGGAGCAGAATTAAAAAGGGCTGGCAAGCATGCTTCTGTCATGCATTTTGCTACTATAAATTATTTTTAAATCTGAAATATTTTCTGAGTTTGTCTTCAGTGTTATAGAAAACAGCATAAAGAACAGATGGCATAGTACCCTAGCAGGTTACAAGACAGTTTCACAAAATTGCAGAATTTCAGAGTTGGAAGATAACCTGAAAGGTTATCTAGTTCAACGCCCTCATTTGATATGAGGAAATTGAGGATCACAGAGGTCAAATGACTTAACTAAGGACATTTAGGCAGTAAATACTAGAGAAAGATTTGAGTCAAGGTCCTCGAATTCTGAAGCCACTGCCTTTTCCAAAACTGTATTTGAAATAAAATTTGATTTCCAGAAATATGATTTTCAAGTTGCTTTTCAGGAGCACATATATCAATTAATTTATATCTCTATTCCAAAGTTTAGGGAATTTTGTTCTCTGCATATTACTAGATTGAGTACATCTGTTTCAGTTGTTTATTTTTTGAAAACATCTTTAAAAGCAACAGAAGGACAATGTTCTTTATATGTGAAGGTCATTGAACTTTTGGATTCAGGCCATTTTTGCCTTGTGAAAATGGTTGATGTAAATTGGAACTGTTTTCATAGAGACTGAGCTAATGAAATCTAAGACTAGGGAAAATACATCTTTTGAGTCTGAGCAGTACAGATTTAATAAGTATGCTAAAATTGTTCTTCTATTACCAAGGCATGTAGAAAATGATAAATGAGATCCTTATGACATAATCCATTGAAATGGAATGTTAAATCTCATGTGTAGGTGATGTAAAAATAATTAGTGAAGGTGTTTTAGATCTCTGGCTGAAAGATGTCATTGAAAGTAAATTAGCTTCTTTAAGGAATTCATGTTAAAATGGTTTATAGGTAATATAGTATTGGAGCTTGTCATGCAAGTTTACTGTTTTCTGAATTCAAATGGCTGAGGCTGCTCACAATATTGTTTTATTAAAAGCATTTAGAATCTTTGGAAAAACATTCACATTTTATTAATGTTGTATGTGTCAACCAATAAACAGTCTAATTTTAAAAATTACTATTGCTTATAAAGCTTGAGTGAAATTGCTTACTTTAAAAGCAATGCAATCTAAAACTATTCTGAAGTTATCCTCATTCCAGGTAGACAGATTAGATTACTGGCAATTTAGAGGTCTATATACACATCACTACCATTTATGTCAACTTGAATTACATATGTGTGCACAAGGGAGAAGGAGCTGAGTCATTTTTTCCTTATCTCTTTAATTCAAAATGTTTAGAAAGTGAAAATCAGTATGATATTAACTACCTATCATGTGCTGGACACTGATGCTGGGGAAACAAGGACAAAAACAAAACAAACAAACCCAGTCTCTGTTCTCCAGGAACTTATAGGAGAAACAATATGTAAAAATATACATTAAGTACAAAATATATACAAGATTAATCCATAGAAATTTCTAAGAGTAGGGAAGGAATCAGTGGTGGTTGTGAGGTTAAGGAAAAGTTTTATGTAGAACATGACATGAAGTGAGCTCTGAAGGGCAATTCTGAGCAGTAGAGATGAGGAAGGAGTGTGTCTGAGGCATTGGGGTCAGCCTCTGTATGTAAAGGCACAGACACAGGAGATGGGATGTTATGTGGGAGGAAAGATAAGTAGGGCATTTTGGCTGGAATTAGAGTGCATGAAGGGAAGTAAATAATACATAGTAAGTAGAAAGTAGGCTGGAACCAGGTTGTGAAGGGCTTCCAAAGCCAAATAGAGAAGTTTGTAGTCAATCCTATAGAGAATCACTGTAGTTTTTTGAGCAGGGAAATGATATGAGTAAACATGTACTTAAGATATGTCACTTTGTAAGCTATGTGGAAAATAAATTAAAAGGGGAGAAATAGGAGGCAGGCAGACCAATTAAAAGGATATTACAAAAAGTGAAAAGTGGTAAGGGCCTGAATGTAGACTGGCAGTTCCATGTGTGGAGAACAGATGATAGATATGGGTTTTCTTTTGAAAAGGTAGAAACTGTAAGATTTGGCATTTGATTGGATATATCGGGTGAATGAGAATAAGAAGTTGAATATGATCCTGAGGTTTTGTTAACTTGGGAGTCTAGGAAGAGGATGGTACCCTCAATATAAATTGGGAGTTTGGAATATAGGTGGGTTTGTGGAAAAAGTTGAATTCTGTTTTGTGCATGTTGAGTTTGAGAGGTCAAGAGGAGAACTGAGAGAATACTGTCATAAAAATACACAACAAAGAATATATTAGAGTAGTCACCAAGATCAAATGCTATGCTATAGATAGATCAGGAAACACTGTCAATTCAGAGCTGGAAGACATCTTAGTGGCTATCTAGTTCAGTTCTTGTATTTTCCCTCATTAAACACCTGAGATCCAGAACAGTTAAGAGATCTGCCCATGATCACACAGTTTTAAGTGACAGAGACATGATTAATAAATAAACATGTCTTGACTCCAGAAACAGTAATCTTTCCATTGTACTACACTCATTGGGACCTTGTTTTCCCCTCCTGTAAAATGAGGACACATGAACAAATGCTTGTTGACAACTTATAAAGTGAAATATGGAGTCATTTAATTAACGTGACTGATTTATTTATCAAACATGGTTCCTATTTTTCCACATCAAATGTAAGTTTGACACCTCATTGGAAAGGATCCAACATTCATAGTCAAGAGACAACATGACCACCACCTTATGACATTTCCTATGCAATTATTTTCTTCATTTATTGCAATCATTCCTATATTTCCTAATTTCTCCAATATTTTTCTCATGGTTTATTCTCTGTATTGTTCAATTCTATTCTGAAGTGCTAATAGTTATATAGCCTTACTGGTAGGGTAACCATTTGATTCTTTCCAAAAGCCCAAAGAATATTCTATTGCACCTGGGCCTGTTTTGAAAAGCACCTGAGGAAATCACAGGTCAAATTAGAACCATTTTGACTTTGGCAATAGCTAAGGATTAATTTGGTTCTGTACTGTCATGAGGTTGGGGGAAGAGAAAGAAAGAGAGAGAGAGACAGAGAGACAGAGAGACAGAGAGAGAGAGTGAGTTAAAATGAGGTACATCTTTATATTGTACTAAGTGAATTTTTTTCAATATTCATCAACCCATGGAGCTTGCATAATTAAGATATATTAATTAAGATATAATATTTACATGATAATACTAAAGATATAATAAAAATCTGTGGAGGAAATTTTAGTAATTTCTTTCCCCAATTAAGAAAGATGTCTTCTGCTGCCTTTTTTATAGGTATTTTTGGTCTAAGATTAGTAAATCTAAAATGTAACCTTACCTGTTTCCCTCATCCCTGGATGGGGAATATTTGAGGAGGCTGTTGATCCCCAAACAACTCTAAAATTTTGATAAAGCAAGAGCAGTGATAAGAATTCTTTACTGGTAATGCTAAATGGAAATGAATAATCTCACGTCTACATTTCACTTATGTGTAATGGGATTTTTCTTAACCATCATAGATTCCTCACCAATCTGGAATATGGAAGAATTTAATTTTAGAATGCTTATGTTATGTTAATTTATCATTCTCTAATTATTTCTGCCTTGTAGAGGGAAGCTTTTCGCTGAGGTTACCTAGGTGGCCTTCATCTTAATGCATTGGTGTAAACAGCGTAGCAGAGTTAATGAGTTTGTCATTAGGGCTTTAAATCAAAGGTTTTCTATTAGTAAAAAAGGGTTCAGTATGAAAATGTGTTAGGAGAAGAAGTCATTGTTTTGCTATATCATATATATATGTATGTATTTATCTTATACTTAATTGTTTTAAATGTCTCATATTTTTCCTTCCTGTTTAATTCACTTATCAAATAACAAAAGACCTCTTTTGAAAAATTCCTGCTTTTCTTATGAGTGATTTTTACCTTTTTTCCCTTCATCTTTTTAGGGATGGGATTGATAAAAGGCTTTGGGAGATGATATTTGAAGACCTTTGTGAGAGGTTTCTTTGTTGCTATGCTTACAACAGTAACTTTTCTGGATTGAGTGGCCTGTGTTGCAAGAGTAGACGGTGCTTCAATGCAGGTATAATTCATAAAAGCTTTATTTCTGATAAGTATTTTTAATATATTCAACAAGACCTGTGCTTTTCATTTACAAAGTACTAGAAACGAGAACCAAGTTGAATGTTTTCATGATGAAGCCAGTCTTTAGACTGAAAGTCATATGCAAGAAGAAAAAGACAAATTTTGATGAAGTTTTACTTGACTAAATTGTTGGTATTTTCTGGAATACTACATATTATGTAAAGTAGAGAGACATTGTTGTGTGGAGGATATAGATTCACCTTTGCAGCCAGGAAGATACAGGCTATATGACCCTGGCTAAGCCATTGAACCACTCAGAACTCTAGGCAACAACTCTCTAAGTTTCAGTTCAGAGAAGGCGCAAACCTGTGTTAATAAGAGGAGTTTCCTTACCAGCCAGTTATCTATACTAACAAAATCATAGGCCTAGTTCTTATCCCTACTTAATTATGTAATAACCAGAGTAGGATTAAAATTGAATGAGAAAATTTGTTAGATGACTTTTTGTGTTGATTTTCCTTAGAGAAATAATTAGAGATTCTAGGAAACATTTATTAAGAATAACTTACTACTTTGAGATATTTGAATCAAATGTCTATTACTTAGAAAATAATATCTCATATCTACGATTATTACTATTTTGCTTAGCTGTATTTCTACATTTTTGGTGGGGGATGTTATGGAGGACTAGATATTAGAGATGTTTAGTTATTTTATTATTAATATATTTGTGAACCAGGTAGAAAAGTACTGGTGCAATAATTTTAGATATTTCAGATGTTGATATCAGCATGTTGAAGACCAGAAAGATTGTGTTCAGTCACACTGAAAATCCTCTGGATTGTATACCCATTTATGGATTGTATATCCAAAATTTAGGAAATGGTCTTTTTGAATGGTCAGACATTTTCTTCTTTAAAGATATCCAAAACAGAACTCATTATTTTTCTGCCTAAGGCCTTCCCCACTTGTGCCTTTCCTATTCCTTTAGAGGGCAACACCATCCTCCCAGTCTCTCAGGCTTACAACCTAGTGGTTATCTCAACTCCTTAATGTCTCTCACTCCACCATATCCAAGCTGCCTGTCAGTTTCATTTCTGTAACATCTCTCATATATGTCTCTCTTTCTTCTCTGATACTGCTACTACTCTAGGGCAGGCCCTCACGACCTCATGCCTAGACTATTGCAATAGCCTGATGGTGAGTATGTCTTCCTCAAATCTCTCCCCACTCTAATCTGTCCTCCATTCAGCCACCAAAGTGACTTTCCTAAAGCTTGGGTCTGTCCATGTCACTTCCCTACTCAATAAACTCTAATGACTCCATATCACCTCTAGGATCAAATACAAAATTCTCTGGTATTCAAAGCTCTTCATAACCTAGTCTTTTTCTGTCTTTCCAGATTTCAGGCCTTGTCTAGTTATACTCCCTCTGTGACCCCTAATGATGTTAGGGTTCTGAAGAAAAATGTGTCATATCCTCAGATTTGAATGTTAGTAATTTATCCTTGTTTAGTCCTTTACCTTTGCTCATTCATGTTTATCTTTTTATGATTCTCTTCACTCTTGTATTTGAACTTCAAAATTTCTACACAGCTCTGGTCTTTTCATCAGTAATGCTTGGCAGTCCTATTTCATTAAAAGTTCTTTCCCTACCTTGTGACATTATACTCAGTTTTGATAGGTAAGTCATTCTTGGCTTCAAGATAATGTTCTTTACCTTGTAGAATATTGTATTTTGAGTTCTCCATTCCTTTAGAGTGTCAGCTTCTAAATCATGTGCAATCCTATCTGTGGCTCCTCACTACCTGAAATTTTTCTGTTTGCTTGCAATATTTTTTTGTTTTTTACTTGAAAACTTTAGATTTTGGCTAAGTATTCCTGGGACTTACCATTTTTGAGTTTCCTTCCAAAGATTACTGGAGGGTTAGTCCAACTTCTGCTTTGCCCTCTGATTCTAAGAGATCTGGGCAGTTTAAAGATTTCTTGAAATAGTATATTTGAGGTTTTTTTTTTATCACGGCATTCAAGTAGTCCTATGATTCCTAAAATTTTTTTTCTCTTCAGTCTGTTTTTCAGGTCAGTTGCTTCTGCTGTGAAATACTATATATTGCTTTTATTTGTCAGTATTTTGACGTTGCTTTAATATTTCTTGTCGCCTTATATAGTTATTTGCTCCTATTTGGTTCATTCTAATTTTCAGGAAGTTTGTTGCTTGGGTAGGGTTTTGTACCTCATGTGCCAAGCTATTAATTCCCTTTCTGATTTTTTCCTCTGTAGCTCTCATTATTTTTCTCTAGCAATTACATTCCACTTATAAAAACATTTTAAAAACTCTTTTAAAAGCTATGGCTTAGTTTCTTCCAGGCATTCTAGTTAAGTGTGTGACCAAACTATCTTTTTTCTCTGAGCCTTGCTTATAGATGTTTTGAAGTCATTCTCTTCTTCTGAATTTATGCCTTCAGCTTCCCTGCCACTGTAATACTTCATTATGGTGGGATTATTTTTTTTTCTTTGTTGATTCCTTCAACTACTTCCTGACTTCAAACCTGATATTAGGGATGGGCTCTGCAGCATTTCGGGAGAAAGTGTCCGGGCTGGTACTGTTGCTGCTTTATTGGGAAACCGAATGTTCTGTCATTCCAGGATTTTAGAGGACAGGCTGAGGACCTATAAAATTTCAGTGATTCTCGAGTGGTGTGATCCAGGGCAAAGTCTTACTGTTGCTCCTTTCCTCATGTCTCTGGTCTGAGCTTTGCAAGTCCCTGATGCTGAGTTTGATTCTGAGCAGGGCTGCTGGTTTCAGTCCCTGTGAGTCAACTGAAAAGCTCACCATGGCAGAATTACAGGCTTCTCTTTGGGATTCCTGTCCTCATTCCTCTGCAGGCTAGGCTAGACAGTACTAATGAGATCCTGCTCTGAGCCTGGAGACTGAACTACACCACTGCTCCTGGTAGCTTCTGAATTTCCTCCTTTCTAGATAAAATGTTTAAGACATCTCTACATAGGTAACTGACCTGAGTGCCACGCTGCTCAGTCCTCTCTGGATCTGTGACCTAAAACTGGGTAGGGAGAGACAAGCTGCCACTTTATACCTCTCCCTATCTAGGGGTGACATGGTATGGATCTAGTAACTTTTCTTGCCCTGATTAACAGCCTCTCCTTGAGCACTCATGTGTGACTGTCTCCTGGCCTAACCCCATCCCGAGCAACTGCCAGCTTCCTTGTCAGTCTCCTTATGCTAACCTGGACTAGACAAATGGCTCACCGTAACTTCTTCTGTATATCCCCATCAGGATTCAGTCTGATTGAAACATTTGATACATCCTCTAGATGACTAGAGAAGTTTTGTGGAGGGGAGTTTACTGTTCTGCTTCCTACCACTCTAAAATTTTGATTCTACCTCCAAACTTTCTCTCTTTCAAATTTTCCTATTTCTCTTGAGGGCACCATAATCCTACTACTCACCTAAGTACTTAACTTCAGTGTTGTTCTTGAATTCTAACTTTTGTTCATCTTACATATCCAATCCATTGCCAAATCTTCTTCCTTCTATTTTCACAACATCTCATAAAATGTTGATTATTATTTACATTTTCTTTTTTTACCTAAGATTGAGTATGGCATATCGTCTGAATCATTTTACATTGAAAGTCATTACCTTTGAAAATTGTAGTTTTTTTTTTCTTTTTAAAAGAAAAAGTATTGAATAGCAGTTTAACATTGGATATAAAGAATGTTATGGTGTACTTTTGAAACTTCAGAGGTGCTTTGGTTGGATACAGCTTAATGACCCAAATTAGAGTTTTGACTGGATGTGGGATTTGTTGCTGTTTGTCTTTCATGGTTGAAGAGGACCAAAATAACATCACAATGTCAGGGTCAATGTACAGTGTGTTGGGCTGTGGCTGATCATACCAATATGAGCTTGGAAGGCTCTACACCAAGTCAGGCACAAAGAGTCCATATGACCATTTGGGAGGGAGATGTCTCTAAATTTGTACATTTCACATTTCTTTGGAGCTACCACAATTTTACTTTGCTTACAGAGCACAGTGCCTTCTTTAATATGGGAACACCATGTCAGATGATCCTGTGCCAATGTCTCCCATGTCTCTCAAAGTTCATCAGAGAGACCTTGAGAGTATCCTTATATCTCTCTTCTTCTGACCATTTGATTGGACATGGGACTATACTGGTAAAAAGTAACCTGAGACCTTTAATAACCTTACAAGTTAAATTTTGGATTTCCTTTGAATTAAGATGCCTGGGCAAGGGCCACTAGCTGAGAATGTAAAAATATCTAAAATTTGTAAATTCAAAACTAGAATCTAAGAGTTAAACAGGTAAATGAAAGGATGTCTTAATACAAATTGAAGAAATACAGATTCACTATCTTGTGGATCAGATGATAAGTATACCATTTGTTAAAGTTTTAAATTATAATTATACAAAATTCAACTCATTTTCTCTTTCTCTGTTTAACTAGAAGAAGATAACACTTCAAAATATTACAATACAGTGCTCTCTGGTAGACTTCAGAGGTGATTTATGTGGAATACATTACAAAACTATAGCATATGAGGAAAAGTGAAGTTCAACCAGCATGTAACCTTTTATCCAGTAATAGCACACATCCATTGGCTTTGTGATTGTCTTGACTTTAAGCTATCTGTGAATGAGTCCCTAAGAACTAGATTTGTAATAACCTTCTTAGGCTCCTAGCTGGCTTTTTGCACTGATTATCTTCTTTCCTGCTGAGTTTGAAATTAAAAATTCTGTCCAAAAAAAGAGTAAGCAATAGGCCTGCTTTCTTTTTAAATCTGTGTTTTCATTTTTAAACTCAGAGAGAGTTTAATATTATTCAGTAATCATTGTAGGTTGCTACTGTTTTGACTTTCTGGCAAGCTGGTTACTAGAAGACCATCAAGAACTATATTGTGATTTATGCACAGTCACTTAAAACAGAGTTGGAGAATTTCACTGTTATAGCTGATTT